AATGAGCATTTAAGGTAAGATACGAAGCCCCTGCCCACCAAAAACGTAAGCAGACAGGTTTTAAAATTAAAAGTTAATTTCCCAATGGTATTTTTCACAGAAATAGAACAAACAATCCTAAATTTGTATGGAACCACAAAAGACCCACAAATAGCCAAAACAGTCGAGAAAAATGGGACAAAGCTAGATGCATCATGCTCCCTGATGTCAAGGTATATTACAAAGCCGCAATAATCAAAACAATATGGTACTAACAAAAAAACATACCTATCAATGGAACAGAATTGAGAGCCCAGAAATAAATCCATGAATTTGACCAAAACCTATAACCAAACAAAAGCTTTACTTGGGAGCCTTTTTAGGTATTGCAAATCTGGAAGACACAGATATAGGTAGAAACCCAACTTGATTCTGAGGGAGAATGAAAGGATCAGAGTTTATAAAGATAGAGAAAAGGGAGTTTCCAGAGAGGTTGCACAAGTTGCTTTGAAAGAGCTATGATCGGTGCTGGCAAACCAACTTATATTATGGTATAAATGATTAACTGCTAGGTATGTCCTATTGCTAGTAAAAAAAAAAAAATTAATAGAGTTCAGTGACGCAGAGCCAGTTCCAGAAACTGTATCCCCAGCTGGCGTGGACATTGGTTGAACATTGACCTATGAACCAGGAGGCCACAATTTGATTCCTGGTCAGGGTACATGCCCAGGTTGCCAGCTCAATCCCCAGAGGAGGCGTGCAGGAGGCAGCCAATCCATGATTCTCTCTCATCATTGATGTTGGTTCTATCTCTTTTTCTCTCCCTTCCTCTCTGAAAACAATAAAAATATATTTAAAAAAGAAATTGCATCATGATGTATTGTTGGGTTTAGCCCAGTTCAAAAGTTCAGTTTCACTTGGAGAGAGTGTGTTAACTCAGCTTCCTGCATGCCACCCATTTTAAATTGCTCTCATAAAACTCCTGGAAGAAAACATAGGAGGTAAGTTCCTGACGTCATTCTTCAAGATGAGTTTTTAGATGTGACACCAAAAATAAAGACAACAAAAACAAATGAAACTACATCACATTAAAAAGCTTCTGCAGCGTGGCCAGTGTGGCTCAATGGTTCAATGTCAATCTATGAACCAGTAGGATTGGATTCTGATCAGGGCCCCATGCCCAGGGTTGCGGGCTTGATCCCCAGTAGGAGGCATGCAGGAGGCAGCAGATCAATGAGGCGCCAGCAGTGGAGGACCCCACATCCAAGACCCAGGAACCAGAAAGGCCCCCAGGAGTGGAGGGCCTGATGCTCAGAGGCCCAGCTGTGGCTCGCCCTGCAGACTCCCTCTGCCTGTCGCCCTGCAAGAGGAAGGACAACTGGAACCCAGACTTCAGTGGGACTGTTCCTCCCAGCATCGCTCTCAGGTGCAACCCCTTTCATGGGGAGGCTAGCAGCAGCAGATCTGAGGTGCAGTGGCCAGGAAGATGACCGGCTGCCTCCACCCTGACCCTTCATGGGATGATCCTTTAGGACAAAAGTTCTTACAATAACACTTCTCAGTTGAATAGCCATGTAAGACATTGGTCTTCATAGACATCTGTACATTTTTCTTTTGGTTACCTAATAAATTATGTAAGAATTCCAACATCTTTCTCCTGTGTTCCCCTCCTTTGGTGGCTAGGGAAGGACTAAGTGAGGGTCCCCATAAGTCGCCTGACATTGGGCGCTGGTAAGGCAGTCAGGGGACGTCAAGGGTCATCAAACTGGGACTCGCATTTGGGGCCTCTAAGAGTCCAGCAGAGAGGCAGCCAGCAGCCCCAGGAACTCCTTAACCCAGAACCCCTTCAGCTCCCGGGCCCCGCCCCTTACCTCTGCCTCCAGACTCTGGACTGGGCATGCCAGTTTCCAATACCCACTCCCAAATTAATGACTTACCAAGGCTCATTGCTGATAAAGAACCAAAACTCAACAGAGTACTTTTAAAGATTTAATTGGCTTTATTATTAAAAGATTCACAAATAAGCCCGCCCGCGGTGGCTCAGTGGTCGAGCATGGGCTTATGAACCAGGAGGTCACAGTTAGATTCCCGGTCAGGGCATATGCGCAGGTTGTGGGCTCAATCCCCAGTATGGGGCATGCAGGAGGGAGCCTATTGATGATTCTCTCTCAACATTGGTGTTTCTCTCCCTCTCCTCACCTCTCTGAAATCAATAAAGACATCTCAAAAATAAAAAGATTCATGAATCAGGCAGCGTCCTGTCTAGCAACTAAAATGGCTTGTACAAAATGAAATTTTTATAGGGAGAGGCTATGTCAGAGGCATTATTAGCCAAAGAAAGGATTATTTTTACCCAGCTCATCTTCTCTGGAGGGGGAGGAAGAAGAACGGAAAGGGTTTTCCTATGCAGATTGTATCCTTGGGGCGTGGGAGGATGAGAAAGATGGAGAGGGTCCATGTGACAGATTACCTACCTGGTGCCTAACTGGAAAAATCTAGTCTGGTTGATTGAGATTACATTTCTGGGAGAGACTGAAATTGCAGTTAAATCAGGTATAAAATCTAGGTTCGGTATCATGGGCTTTTAGCAGGAGTGGGCCTGTGGGGCCTGTGGTGTTTTCTTTGACATTACCAAATAAAGTAGAACTATTGTATCCAACATATCTGGGGTTTAAACCAGGCACTGCCTTAAACAATGCCCAGCAAAGTGTAAATGCTCAATAAATGTCAACAATTATTATAACCAGAGGCCCAGTGCACAAACTCGTGCACAGGATGGGGAGGGGATGTGGAAGGTTGGCCAGCTGGCCCCGCCCCCTAGTAGAACTCCTGGTCAAGGGGAAGATTTGCATATTAGGCTTTTATTATATAGGAGGATTGCTCAACTGTGATTTCTCTGGGATCAAAGTAATCCACTGAGATTGAACTCACAGAAGTCTCAACGTGTAGACTTTCTCCCTCAGGGGCTATTCCTGTAACCCCTTCACTTGACCTCACTAGTTTCTGGCATCCCACCCTTTCTCAGCTTCCCTTTAGGATTCTATGTGTCACCTTCAGTCCTCAAACTAACACTCCACCCCCTGAGCATACCAGCTAGGGCTGTGTCTGCTTCACATTTAATCATATTCAAGAATTTGCTCATAAAAAGGCTGTGGAGTGTTGCAGTATAAAGAAATCAAAGGCTATTTAAAAGTTATTCTCATTTGTTTCTAATGGCAGGACATGAAGAATTATTTTTTATTGGACATATCATACCACAAGTGCCTCTGATATTAATTTTTTAAATAACTCCACTTTTAAGCATTTCCTGACAGATATTCAACAACTGCTCCACATAGTGATACATGATGAATCTTATATTTTTGTAGGACTTTAATTGCTCATTAATGTGCCACGTAGGAATAACATAATGGTTCTTTCATCCATACATAGAGGAGGCATATCAGGAAAGTGAGGAGCCCAGGAGTTGAGTCACAGAGCTGGGTCTGAATCCTGGCTCGGTCACTCACTTTAGACAAACAATTTAACCTTTTTAAAACCAAATGTTCACTCAATGGTCATAACTTTATATGTAAGATTAATATTTATTAAGAAAGTCAGCCAGGCCCAGCCAGCATGGCTCAGTAGTTGAATGTCCATCTATGAACCAGGTTGGTCATGGTTCGATTCCAGGTCAGGGTACATGCCTGAGTTGGGAACTCAAGCCCCAGTGTGGAGTGTAGAAGAGGCAGCCAATCAATGATTCTCATTATTGATGTTTCTCTCTCTCTCTCTCTCTCTCTCTCTCCTCTCTCTCTTCCTCTCTAAAATCAATAAAAATATGTATTAAAAAAACAGCCAGGAATTGGATAAACAATGAAGAAAATATATGGTTTAACACTAAAGATGATAGTTACATCTTCAGGTTGTATGTGTATTAAATGAGATAATATATACCAAGTGTCGGGCAATATATTTATTGGCAGAACACTAGACAAAATTCTCAAAAAATGAGAGTACTGACAGATACTTGAGAGTACCTTTTTAAAAAAATTTTCCTCTGCTGTGTAATTCAGTAGCCAGGAGCCACATATGGCTATTGAGAATCTGAAATGTTCATCTGAATTAGGATGTCCTGTACAGAACATGTAAAATATACACCAGAATTCCGAATCTTTGTATCAAAAAAAAGTGTGTGGGGGGGAGTAAAATATCTCACTAATAATTTTTATGAACATATTCACAATATATTTTAAATATATTGGATTAGGTAAAATGTATTATTGAAATTAATTTCACTAGTTTCTTTTTACTCTTCGTAATGTAATTACTAGAAAACTAAAATCACGTATTTGCTCACATATCATTTCTATTACACAGCACTATGCTAGACAACAGGTACTCTGAACACAAATATAACTAAGGTAGGTCCTAGGCCAGTGATGGTGAACCTTTTGAGCTCGGCGTGTCAGCATTTTGAAAAACCCTAACTTAACTCTGGTGCTATGTCACATATAGAAATTTTTTGATATTTGCAACCATAGTAAAACAAAGATGTATATTTTTGATATTTATTTTATATATTTAAATGCCATTTAACAAAGAAAAATCAACCAAAAAAATGAGTTCACGTGTCACCTCTGACACGGGTGTCATAGGTTCGCCATTACTGGCCTAGGCACTCAAAGAGCTTCCAATTTACCTAGGAAATGAGGTTAATTGCTATATAACATGATAAGTATTCTTACAGCAGTATAAAAAAAGTCAGCAAAATCTTAGAAACAGAGCCACACTTTATGACCCTTGAAGAGTTTTGGACCACTGTATATATCAGATAGGAAAACCGGAGCAACTCTTTTGCCCACAGATCTTATTAAGGAACATTTTGGGTATGATCTGAAACATTTTGGGATCCAGATATGTTACACATGTCAATTCCTGTGTTTAGGAAAACATTGAAATGTCTGCTGTAACAACTTCAATTGTTGT